TTCCAGTAATTGCATACATTAAATATTGGTTACTCAGCTCGGTAGATATCATTATTAATATTATTCTTACAGTTGAATTTTCCACGAATATTACCTTTTTCCCAAAACAGAAGTACTTAATTATATAAAGTTTGCTTGAATTATCACCTGCATTTTCCACGTAGATTCGACAATTTTCCCTAAATTTCTTTTTTTTTAATCAAGTTATTTTACTGATGATAACTTGGAACTAGTTGCCACTTACTTGCATGTAACCTATGAGTATTTATATTATTTCATGGTTTATATTATTCCCGTTCATATTCTTTTTTACTGCTTATAAATGCTTAAAGTGACATATCTTTCTGTTGTAATATCTTGAAAGAGAAGCTTTTGTTTATAAAATACTGTAGTTAAATTTCTGCTTCTTTTCGGATCGACTTTATCGCCTTTGTAGTTGCATACATATAGCTGGAAGCAATTAAAACGTATGGGTGCCTATCTTAGTAAACCAATAACCGAAAAAATATCTGAATGTGGTGGCAATGAGCGAATTTATTATGCTGCGACGAGTATGCAAGGATGGCGCATCAATCAAGAGGTTGTTTGAAAATTTTAAATTAACTAAAATTCAGGTTTACTTTTTCTAAAATTCCTTAAAGATTGGTGTGTTTCCCTACAGAAATGTGTAGAACCATTTTTGCTCTGACACTTTTATGCTAAGATGTCAGATGAGCACTTTTTGAATTTGATATTTTGGAAGTAGTAAGTTAGGTAAATAGTTTTGTATATTTATATCCTGAAATATTTCATTTTAGGATGCGCATAATTGTATTATAAATTATGATGAGGATTCTTCTTTTTTCGCAGTGTATGACGGTCATGGAGGTAAATTTCTCAATAATATTTATAATTATTTTCGTGATCAAGTGCTCTAAGTTTTTTTTTTTTCTTCTTTTTGAGACATATGTTGAATTTTATTAAACAGATATACATTATAGGAAGTGAAGTGGCACAATACAGTGCACACCATTTACCAGATATGTTGAAAGGAAATAATTCATGGTTTTCGGGTAATTACGCAAAAGCTATACAGGATACTTTCTTGGAATTAGATGAATTATTAAGGTTGTAAACAGTCATTTTGGTTATTTTGTTAAATCATTCTCTTGGTTCATTAGGTTTTATTTGCAAGAAGTTTCTGACTTCCATGTTTTCGGAGATAAAGTCGAGTACTTTATAGATCCGAAGCAGTTATGAGAGAATTGAAAAAAATGGCAGGTGGTGTAATACCGAAACGTGAAGAATTAAGCGATATTGACGAAGACAAGGTATATTTGACTTTTGTCTAGTTGTGGACTAATTTAGAATAGTGAACATAATTCATCAATATCTCATAAATCACAATTTATCAATATCGCTCGTTTGTCTTCCATATTCAGCAAGCATTATATGAAGAAGCTGGAATGCCAATTGAAACCATACTGGAGAGATATGGAATTATTTTACATCGAGAGCAGAATGGAAAACAGGCAGTCATAGATCTTGACGAGTTGCGGGCACAGATTGAACAGCAAGACGGAGGAGAGGATCAGGTGCAGGTAATCACCTATTAGTTTTCTCTCATGTTTACCTCAGTTATTGCCTTGTGCTTAGACTTATTAGTTATCGCTTACTCATTAGTGAATTTGTATGACAATTATATTCTGGTTTTCGCAAACCAGTAAACAAAGATTTTATAAAAATGCGAACTTTCATTTATGCTATACTCAGAAAATGGAAGAGTCTGAGGAGAAAATTGAAGAGAACGGATCAAAAGTATTGGAAGAGGGAGGAAATCGAAAAGATCAGGATGGCGATACTGTGATTGATAAAGAAATTAAAGCTGATGAAAATCAGCTCAGAAAATCGGAAGAAAAGGGACTGGAAGAAAAAGCCAGAAAACGACCCAGTGACTCCTCATCAAGTATCCTGAAAATGAAACGCACAAAATCCTTAGATGGTTTGTGCTGTCAATTTGAAAAATTCAATTTAACTTCGTGCAAATTTTGTTATATTGATTCTCGGCAATCGATATAACAAGTTTAAGGAAGAGTGAATTTCAAAGGAGCTCATTTTCTTCACATATCTGCCTAATTTTTTATTGTCTGTCTTAGTAATCTGATGAAAGCTATTTTAATGATTTTGCAGCATTTTAAGATTATATAGGAAGCTGTATTAGCATTAATTGCAGATGTTGAAGAAAGCATAACAGAAAGTCAGAATAAAGCTACACTCTTAGGTAGATCAGCGGTCGGTGAAACAGTGGCTGTGATTCAAGATGAAAGGTTAATGTTAAACTCGAGCTGTTGTTTTACAGTAACATAACGATATCATTTTTCATCTAATTATTAATTCAACTGAGTTCGTTTTCATTGAATTTTATTAATGAAAACAATAATTGTGATCCTTTTAATAGTTCTCTAATGTTTACTCTTATTTTAGATGCGAAAGTGCTGGGGAAAGTGAAGCGGTAAATAGTGAGCCAGAAGTCGCTGGTCCTGCAGAAGTTGATGCTACTATAACTTCGGTCGATTCAGGTGATGGAGATGACTCTCTACCATCCGGGGAGATTCCTCATCCTTCTGCGTAAGTAACTATTAATTCCAGTTTTTTTGTCGATAGCTTCATCTGAAAAAATACTTTTAAAGAAAAGTATTCTGCGTTGATTTCTTCTGCACTGGATTTTTTGAAAGAAATGGAAGGAAATAACATAGTATTTATAGCATTTTTACAGTGTACGTATCACTTTGAATATTTTAGAACTTTGGAGGGACAAGTTACGTTTTCTTCGGATTCAGAGTCAGTAGATGAAGATTACAATGCTGACGAAGAAATGAGTGATGGTGAAGAGGAGGAGGAAGTGGATGATGAGGAAATTGATGATGTAGGTTCAAAATATCTTGTTAAGTACTATTTCGTTATATGTGTGAAATGTGCTACATTTATCGTCAGAAATTGTTGAAGTAAATTCAAGCTTTAAAACCGACTAATGGTCAAGATTGCAATAGCAAGATCAAATCTTTCACTAGATATTAGAAAGCAGTTCTGGATGATTGTTTTTCAGAATTGATTGATATTTATTTACTGTCATAACATGTTATTTGAAGTGCAATATTGTAGACTGATCAGGCCTATTCTTGTCCATCGGGTGATACTCCAGGTGAAGATTCAGGCACGACAGCATGCGTTGTCATAGTTTTCAAGGTAATATTTTATTCTGCAATTCTATTACGAGATTTGAATAGCATCTACAGAATATTAGAAATATTACAGAATAAGGTATTATATTCCCATATTTCTAATTCATTAGTGACAGGAATTTTTTTTTTTTTTATTTTTCCAAAACTTTTACAAGAAAATGATTTTAATTTTGCGATTATTTGTTTTCAAAAGTGTTCCATTGCATATGCTGCTATTTTAGGATAAGGTAGTAGTTGGCAATGCGGGTGATAGTCGGGCAGTGCTGTGTCGTGACGGTATGGCTGTTGAACTGTCGGTTGATCACAAGCCAGAAGATGACATAGGTTTGTTCGTCTTTTTTTCAGTAAAATGTAGAAATTTGACAAAGCCAAATTTTTTCTACTAACTGACGACTTTATTTAAAATATAGAGAAAATTCAGCTTTGTTTATGTCGCTGTTTACTGAAGCGAGGATTTTTTCTAGAGAGGAGGCGAATTGAAACAGCTGGAGGCGAAATTAGTATCGATGGTCGAGTTAACGGTGGCTTGAATCTTTCCAGGTCAGCTTATTTTTCTTTCCAAGAAGCTGTAGTCATGTGGTTCTCTTTCAAAGAAATTCAGGATTGGTGCATTGCTTTTAAAAAATTTGCTCGAAAGAGTTCCAATGAGTATTGCGATTTTGCGATGCCAAACTCGATGCTTGTATGTCTATTTTTTGATATTCAATCCTTTTCAGAGCCTTAGGTGATCATTTCTATAAGAAAAATGCTGCATTACCATTAAAAGAACAGATGATCTCGGCATTACCGGATGTTAAACAGTACAAAATTTTAGAAGGCGACGAATTTATCATTATTGCTTGCGATGGTATATGGTATGACATATACTTTATTGCTGGAGTTTTCCAAATCTTCAAGTTCTGTTTTATTTTACAATTTTTGCTACCAAGTGATCTGCAACTTCAGGAATTCCCTCACTAGTCAAGAAGCGGTTGATTTCGTACGACGAAGGATAAATGATGGTGTCAATCTAAAGGACATCTGCGAACAGGTTTGTTCGTAGTATCTTTCAGGGATTATGATTAAATGAAATTTCAGATGTTTAAAAAAGTATCCTATGCAAATATATCCAATGCATAAAGTGATCTTAATTCTGAATTGAAAAAGACATAATAGATGGATATATAGATCATGTTTCCGGCTTATGTTATACAATTTAGATCACTGTAAATTGACTTCTAATTTCGCATTTCAGATGAAAAACTAATTTCTTTGCAAAAAAAAAAAAACGAAATAGCAGAACTACAAAATTTTCTGAAAGGATCTTCAGCATGAACATTCCTGCGGCATTAACATAATTCTTCCTAATTAGAGAAGGCAAATGTTTGAATTTACACAAAAGACAGAGTGCATATCCAAGTGACACATACTGACGATAGAAAAATAAGAGGTGGCTTGGGATGAGAAATCTCTGTAGTAGCAAGATCGAAAGTTATGTGCATGCTTTTCATAAAATAAATCATTTGCAGCAGAGCATTATTTTCTTTTAATAAAATTTTGTATTTAAAAGTAAATGTTCGATTTTAACCGATCACAACTTGGGCAAATATATTGCTGGCAAAGTACAAAAAAGTGCAATATAAATATGCAATGCTATTAGGAAACTGTACTTAATATCGCAAAAAAAAATTAGTTGTAGATTTGTGATCACTGCTTGTCACCAAATACAGCTGGAGATGGTACTGGTTGTGATAATATGACGATAATTGTAGCACAAATATTGCGCTCGGCAACGTCATCCTAATGTTTTTTTATTTCGTCGTTTAAAGCATTCGAAAATCGTGTTTTTATACCTTCTTTCTCGAAGAGGTCCGTTATTTCACCCTTTTTGTGCATTTGAACAAGAATATCACAACCACCTATGAAGTTGCCATTCACGTAAACCTAAAAGAGAATTTATATGATTTTATTTTCCTTTTCCTTACTTTATATTTGTTACAGAGAGTATGCAGATTAGAAAATATATTCTTTTAAAGGGAAAAAATACATAGCTCGTTTCTGTTAGGTACCATTCATTTTATTTATTGTTTTTCTTTCCTCTCATTTTTCGTGAAATTTGTCTTATCATTGCACATTATTTGTGTATATTTTATGATATCTTATAAATGCTTCCATGTTTTGAGGTGAAAAAAGAAAAAAAAAGCAGGTTTGTCAAACATAGAAGAAAAATTATTTTTCTTTCACCGATTGGTGTGAATCGTTATGTTTCATTCTGATGTACGCGTTTTATTTTCCATAAATGAAAGTGCCCAGCATTAACTAAAGTTATTTATGCATGGCACTGGTGGTCAAAGAAACGGTTAGAAACATGTTTACATAACATTTATTTGGCAATTTTAACTTTTCTGTTGTAGGTTTTAGAATAAAAGTGAAATTGTCATATCTACCTTTTCGGAATACATTATCTTTTTCAAGAAGTTCAAGTTTCTAGATGAAAAAATTACTTTTATATCTTCACTTTTCCTCTTCAAAGAAAAAACCGCCAAGTAAATAACCAATACATTAGCTTACTTGAGGTATCGTAGGCCAATCACTATATGTTTTAATACCTTCTCTTAGGTCATCATCGCCGAGTACGTTATAATCTTTGAATTTAACCTCATGAAAATCTAATACCTGTAAAGAAAAGACTGAAGAAAATCCCAAAAAGAAAGCATGAGAAATTTTCAAGTTACGTAATACTCTGATAAAAACGCTTTTATCTGAACTTACGATGAATTAGTATTTTTCAAAATTTGAAAGCTACACAACACAACTGAATTGTTCCCGAGGATTACTAGAACTGTTTTCTTGCTAAAAGTGTTTATGTCGTCATGATATTCTCATGACAAAAACTCAAATAGTACAGATCGCATATATGAGTGTAAAAATGGCTACCACCATTAGCTAAATAAATCAAATCATCCCAACTTCATAGAATGAAGGAGTCAATAGACTTGATTTTTCATTAACTTGAAAAAATTCAGTTAAAACTTTTCTCTCCTGCTTTACCATCAAAATCAAAATTTTTAGAATACCCCTGACCCCTTATTTTGTTTTAATATTTAACTATAACTCACCAATTTGACATTTTTGCTAAAGCCGCACATTGGTTCCAGCTGCGTACCTTTCATGAAAACTACTACCGGAGCAGATGAGATCATATTTTCAATTCGCATTTTCAACGCTTCAGGTAACGGTGTTGACGATGCAGAGGAAAAAAGATATGAACCGGGTGCACGAAATGCAACTTGCCTAATAATTTTTGTCAAGCCAAACATCTGCAATTAAAATTAGCGCTATTGCCCTTAAATTTAGGCTTTGCGTGCCGCAGTATTTTCATTTCAGATAATTCAGCTCAATTAGAGTAGCAAGTGGTCAATGGGACCACTTAATATAGCATAAAGACTAATCATACATAACCTTAAGGTGATAAATCTTAAGATTATATATCAATATGTATGGTGCACATTCCCTCCACTTTTTCCTTTCCAGAGCAATAGATCGATAATTTTGTGGAGTCATTCTATAAGGTCAATTCGAATCTCATACAACCTACTAAAAATCTAAAACGACAAAGAGTTAAAAATCTCATAAACGGAGGAATAAAGAAAAGTCACAAAATAATACATAGATGTTCAATTTAAACTGTTTCTGAAGATCTGAAATTAACTCATAAGAAAAACCCAGTAATGCATTGTCCCCAAGCAGCATAATTAATTAGAAACAATAAAGAGAGAAGCAAAAACAACTGAAATGAGCATCAAGAGTATAATTCGCAGCGTAGATTCGCTCCACGACGTATATGTTGTGCCATGACTTCATCTAGCAACAACAATAGCCGTGTATTACGAAACTTTATCAGAAAGTATTAGAATTACACAACCAAATCATCCCTAGTTTACAAGTCCTCTCATCTTTCAGTAACGATCACCAGATAGTATAACATACAAAACAAAACAAAAAATGCTTGGAATTAAACCTTTCTGAAGTAATAAAAGCCAAGAAATATTAACTTATCAGATTGGTTTATGAAAACTGAATGCGTCACCCAGTGACAACTGCAAAATAAAGCTATCTTGAATTAAAAAAAAAAAAAAAAAAAAAAAAAAAACAAAACAAAACAAAACGAACATTAAGGTGAATTCTCAGGTTCAACCATTTCGAGAAAGAATGATCGTTACTTTATACAGCTAGAACAGCGTGTCAACAGAATTTTTCAGAACTACTTTTTCCTTTCTAAATCACATTCAGTAAAACGGGTGGTAAGTCAATTAATCAGAATGTACTACAAAATGAAAAAAATCAAAACCTGTGGCAATTTCAACTCAAAAATAAGTAAGTGGATGAAAAGTACTATAAACAATAATTAAAGCTTGTGATAGGGAGAAAAAAAGTGAGACAGAGTTATCGCTTCTCTTCTTTGATCATAAATTTTAAAGTTACGAAAAGAAAAATAAGCTACATTTCAAATAACAATATAATATCAAAAGGATACAATGGCCTTCACAGAAAGTAGTCCGGCTGAGGCTTTTTCGCTGGAGCACCGCGATTTTCCTGCAAAAAAAATACATAAGAGATAATTTGTTGAAATTAGTCATTTCTAACACCTGCGTTAAATTGATTTTAATTCCGAATTAATTCTCGATGTAACTTGAAATTCAATTCCTTGTGGCATGTTAGCCATGTATAGAAAGTGAGTGTTAAATTACAAAAGATATCAAATCTTAATGGTCAGAAAAAAGATGGTATGATGCGAAGAATTTCTTCTAATCTCTAAATTTTCAAATTTTATCAAGAAAAAAAAGTTGATGAATAAACCTGTGGTGCAGCTTCGAAAATGGTGAAATCTTTGTTTAGTTGTTCATCAAGTTCCAAAATAGCCGCTACATTCCCACATCTGTAAGTGCTATTGATTAGAAAATTGCAATTTCAGTGTTAATGAAGCAGTCAATCTAACTGGAGATGAAAAATTATTTTAGATTAATGCAATCTCCAAAAAAAGAAAGAATTTACAAAGAAAAACCAACATTACCGGTAGCAATAATTAGGTGCCGACCAGACCGTTAAAACAGTTTCACCGAAATGCCATTTATAACCTTCCATAACAAGCTGGTGAGCCCGACAAATCAAATCTACACCATTTGCTTGACAGAAAGCCTAAACTAATCGTTTATCAGAGAATAAGCCTCTAATGACTAAAGAATAAGACATTATGAAAATTTCAAACAGTAGAAGATGGTAACAAATAATTTCTCAAAACTGGCACAGAAAATTCTCTTCCATTTCGGAATGAATTCAAAAAAATATTTTAAATACTATTCCTTCTATATAGAAAAATAATAGATAAACATGCAAGCTGGAGAAACTAACCTTAACAACGTCAGAGCCGAATAGATAGCCAGCACCTCGAGGACTAACACCCCAACCGACACTCTCTTCAGGATCTGACCATAACAAATCACACATTGGGCCATCATGAGGTACCTGAAAACCAAAACCTGAATAACTAAGTAGCTTATTAAAAATACATCCCAAGAAATATCTACGTAAGACAATGGAAATGCAGAATATTAACCTCTTGCTTCCTATCGATCGTCCTGATTTGATCAAGATTTTGTATTGATGGTGATAAGCCACCATGCACACAAAATACCTTACCCGCAATAACTGCAGAAAGACTTAGACAATCGAATACTTCAGTGCAACACCTGAAGCAGGGATCAGTTGCAACATAAAATTCGGGGAAAAAAGCAAATAGACATTCAATGCTGCTGTGAAAACCAACGTTCTTTTTTCCAGGTAAACATAAGTCAAAATTCAAAAAACGTACCTCCATACGGCTGATGAACCGTATTTCCTCAAGCATTCGTCGTAAAATCCATACACTTGAGTTATTTGTCGCGATTCATGATTCCCTCTTATCAGCATCATCCTATCGGGATATCGCACTTTTAAGGCTAATAGTAACAGAAATGTCTGAAAAATTACAATCAGTAAAATGTGATTAAAACCAAGAGCGTTGTATAAAATAGTGTAAGTTTATGTTACTAAAGTACTATAACATAAAATAAAAACTTATGTAGTTTATTTTTTTATGATTTTACAGAATGCCGATGCTGCAAAAAGAAGATTAAATGGATATCGAAATTTCTATTTAAGAAATGAATGCTGATTTGAAAGATAAAAAAATAACTTATGTATTAAGTTCGAAACAGAGCACGTTAAATAAGGTATTTAGTTTAAAAGGGAAATAAATATAACAAGCTTTAAAGGACAACAAGTTTAAAGTGGTTTGAACAAAATCCGATACATGGCTGCATCAAATAAAATTGATTTAGTTTCATTAGTGTTTACGAATTCATACTTAGAACTAATATTAAAAATGTAGGAAAAAATAAAGTTCGACTGTGATGACCAAAGGCACTGATGAACAAAAGCAGCAACTTAACCTCAACAGAATAAAAACCACGATCAACAAAGTCGCCGAGGAAAAGATAATTAGTGTCAGGAACCTGGCCACCAACCCTGAATAATTCCATTAAATCGTAAAACTGACCATGGATATCGCCACATATCTAAATATCTCTCTAATCATAAAAGTGCTTTTTGATTCCTAAGCATAAAACAGCATAAATGATTCGTAAATTTTTGGTTATGTATAAGTAGCCCGGATGTAACAAGTCATCAGCAGCTTCATATATTTTTGTCATTCTTTTTGCTAACTTGGTTATTTAACAGATTAATACTTTCGTCAATAATAAATGGTTCTATGTCATAAAAAATTTGACACAATTAACTATGCTAATGATCTAACTGATATAATACTAATATAATTATGAAAGCGTATTACAAAATCATTAAGACAGGTTTAAAGAATTAAGGAAATTAAAGAGAAAAACGAAAGATTACCGTAACAGGAGAATCAACAACTTGCACGTTGCCTTCCTGTAAAAGGATTTCACGTGCTTTGGCACACAATGATTTTACTTCTTGCTCTGAGATACATTCACACCTCATCAATGTTTCGATTTGCCTTAAAATTATCGCTGGTAAATCATGACTAAATTATGTAACTCGAAAAGGCAAATAGTGCAATATATCAATGTGAAAGTTCATGAACATTCAATTTTAATGAAATTCAAAATAAAAACTGATATTAACCTATCCAAGTCATTCACAGCAACAGAAGTTGGTGTTGAGGGTAACATCGAAGGTAATGTTTCATCTGCATTCATTACCATATCAAAATCTTCTGCAATAAATACAAATAAATGCAGTAATTGTCGGCTTAAAATTAAAACAATATTTTAAGTAAACTTTATAATTGCTTAAACGTATAAAACATATATGTCTGAATCAATAAGCTTAAGCACTCAAAATAATCAGACAAAATGATGAAGCAGAAACCAGGAACTGCGAAACTTAAAGTGGAAACCTAAGCCATCAAATTCGTTAGTGCCATCAAGCTTCAAACAGATAGGGAAATCAAATTTGCAGCTCGTCCATCTGAAAAGACGGTCCAGCCGCTGAAATTGAATGGAAATTTTGATTTGATTGCTGAGATTGTGTTGGGTGTGGGAGTTGCAATTTATTTCGTTTTTATCTCGATGAGTAACTGATATCCGGTATGCTGGAACTCTGAACTGAATGCCTGATAGACGAGGAATGAAATAGACCCTTGGAATATTAATAAGAAACTGACCTATTCCTCCTTGAATTTCCATAAACGGTCAAATGAAAAGATGGAGAGAATGACCGCTAATGTAATTCCCACTTCCTATTTTCCCTTACTCATTCTTTCCTCTCTTTTTTCTTCTGCAATTTATTCAACTGTTATTACTTGGTTCATTTAATTTTATCTAAATTTACATCAAAATGATTGAGTTGCCAGGAAATTCCTTCATAATTTATGGCTGATTATTTGACTGATCATTGAAGTATATATATATATATGTGTATAGCTATCCTAAATACGTTAAAAACCGCAGTTTCTTATTTTGGCTAAAATATAATCACAAGAATTATCAGAAATTAAAAATTTGTAAACAGTTAATACAGATTCATATTGCATTTTTTTTTTATTTCAGCATAAAACCTGCAAACAGTTTGTGGTATAAAATGAATTGAAAGAAATTGAAATAAGGGTTGTTAGTTTAAAATTTTGAAAATGGGAGAAAGAAAGAAAATATTATTTTCCCTATTTCTTGTCCAGTGATTTATTTCTGTTACAGTTATATAATGTGAATGGGGCGGATGATACATTTCGATCATAAATACCGTATTTTGTTTATGTAAAATACATTCCCTTTTTTTTTACTTCATGTGATGTCATAACTTTTCAACAGTTATTTTTGCAGCATTCCGTGTTATTTCTCCCTCTTTAGATCCGTTTTTTTTCTCTCTCTCTCTCTTTTTTGATTCCTTTTATCTTATCCTTATTAACGAAATTTTAAAGGAACAAATTAGAAAGCTGAAAGGATGACAAAAACGAAAATATGGATTTCTTCTTTCTCAGCATTTTACCTCTATAGTTTAATTTTTTTCGAAGCAAACTCATCTCCTCATTGATGCAACAGTTAATAATGGAAGGACCGGAATTGAACAGGGAAAAATATTCGGACAAATTTTGAAATGGATGAAGGAGAAAATTTCAGCTTTTAATTTTCCTTTTTAATTACTAGTTTTGCAGTAGATGCTTCCCTTTCTATTCTTTTTCAAAATTTTGCCTTAATCTTAAGTTATAGTGGGAAAAAAGTTACCTATAAACTATTCGGGAAAAAAAGGAAAGGAAAAAGCCTGAAAATATGCTAAGTAAAAAGAAAAGAAAATACTTTCAGGTATTGAAATTCAGATGGAAGAGCAAAGAGAAAAGGAGAGGAAATTGTCGGTTGGTGAAGGAAAAAGGATGGAAGAGAAAATATTATAGGAAGAAATGCCTAAGAAGAGTAAGAGAATATCGATGATGAAATGCAGCTAGAAAGGCCTTAAAAGCTAAGGTTCACATGAATATTTGTCTTTCTCCCTCCCCATTCCCTCTCTCTTAACTAATGTTTTTCCGTGTGGTTCCATCCATATTTCTGTGCAACACAATCAGTCATTCATCATTTTTTGATAGTTCTTGATCCAATATAATGTATTTACCCCACAAATTATAAAATTTGCTTTTTTCTCCTCTGTCCTTTCTCTTTCTAAGCATTCCCTTTCTTCATCTTTCCACTCTTTCTTGTCCTCTTCCTTCTCCATCTTCTTCCGCTTATCTCCTCCTTATGGTTGTTTAATTATCACTTCATTTCTCCTTCTTGCTGAGAACTGATATGATGATGTCCGAATGAATAATATTACTAGAATTTCATGTTTGTGTCATAAATCGTTTTAAAATTATTTACTAAAAAATCATTTAATAGATGAAAACAATTAAAGTATTTCTTAATAAAAAAAAAAAAAAAAAAAAAAAGAAAGAAGATAAATGAAAAACAAAACGAAATTTGCAGCTAGCGATTTTGAATGATTAAATTGGGACAATTCTGCCAATTATTTGTTTGATTTTCTGAAAAAAAATTTCTGATTTATTTCTACTTCTGTTACTAATATTACTACTTCTATCACTACTATTACTACTACTACTACTACTATTATCACTACAGTTACTTACTACCAAAGCAATGTTGATAAAGGAATATCGTATTCTGTTACCTCTTACTGTCAGTGAATATCGTATCGCTCAACTTTATATGATTCAGGTTTGTGTTTAGGTAAATTTGGTTTGTTTCTTTCTTGTTCGAGATGTAGATATGAGAGAGGGGAAATGAATAGAAAGGAACGTCAAAATACTTTTTTTTTTGGGGAGGAGAAGGATTCAGGAATTCTCTCTTCTTCTGAAGCATAGATTTTATTGTTTAAATGTTACTTATGATACGGAATGTGTATCAGTTATGCTCGTATCAGTTATTGTGCACTAAATGTGCACCATTCATTGTGAGAGAAAATTGACACATTTGCAAAATGATTTCTGTTTTTTCAGAAAGTTTGATAAATTTTGCAAAAATTTGCAACTTTCAAATATTGAAATCTTGTTTGCAAAAAGATTTTTTCATCTTTCTTTTCTCATATGTGTGACATTTCACTGCTTTTAAATACATTAAAATTTTTGAACTACAAAAATGAAAAATTTTAGTGACGATGAAGTTTTTTCTCATACTGCTAATTGTATAATAACTTGTGGACATTTTTTTTTTCGCGAAATCTGTATACAATAATATTTTTCAATCAAGAAGAGTGATAGATTTATTTGAATGAGAATTAATTGGTTTATTTATTGAATATGCTATCTCATGAAATGTCTTAATTGAAATCCATATCTATGCTGCATAGCACTGATGAATTTGCACATATATGTATATCTAATTATTCTCAAATGATTCATTTTAATCAAATTATTTTCTGAAATTTTCTCATCGAAGAGAGAGTTGTTTATTGAAAATATCTAACAGTTGATTCTGATATATTCATTAAATGAAATGTCATAAATTTTATTCCCAAGAAAAATATAATTTTTTCTTTATAATTTTGTCAATATTAAATTTTCGCAATGAAATTTATTAGTCTTTATATTTTTTTCCCAAAAAACTAAGATATTTCTTTTTATTGATCTGCACATGATTTTATTGTTAATTACCAAAAGTTTAAATAATCACTTTATCAAGTAGGACTTTCTCTTTGTCAGTAGTTTTTGTATAACGGATGTTGTCGATTATTTTTTGATCTTCCCAAAGATATCGGTCTTTTCCGTTTTCTGTCTTTTGGTACGGAAGTATTGGAAGCATTAGGGGCAATTTCAAGATGGAAGGTATGGTGAATTTCCCATTTTTTATTGTTAGAATTCTTTTGATGATAATTTATAGATTGTTAAATTAAAGAGAAGCAAATTGCTTAGCACATTTCAATGCATGCTTAGGTTCACACTGCAATTTTTCTTCAGATTTATGAAGTTAGTAATTATATTGCTTTCGAATGATGGCTTTCCGTCTTATTTTCATGAAGTTGCTTGTATTATCGAAAGTTGGAAACTATATATTCGTAGTTTAATATGACTGCAATATTTGGAATATTGAGATCTATAAAAGTTATGATATTTTAATGCCCACTTTTTTAATAATAGACCGGCAATTAATTTCCCCACTACGTAGGACTTGTTTTGGATGTAAAGATTGTCAATGTAGTGAAATTTAATGGTTCATTAAATGAAGTAAATCAATGGCGAATATGGGAAGGTTTGGAAATAATATTTCCAAAAATTTTGTGAAAATATTCCTTTCTGAAAGTATAAGTTAATAATATGAGCAGAATATAAGTTGTTTAAATGTTATTAATGAAAAAAGAAATCAATATTTGTTTTCATGAATTGATTTAAGGGAATATTTGAGTCATAAATACCATCTGTTGACTTTTGTGGTTTAACCAGTGCTATATGATTCTGATAAATTCCGACAGTCAGTTCATAAATTTAAAGGAACTATTCAAGTTGAATTGATAAAAGCTTCAATTCGTGTATTAAAGTAGAAATCATTTTCGTTGATGGTTGGTTAGTCGTTACACTGAAATACTAATAAGTACGTGTGAAGTAGATGTTTGGGTTTACATTATGGCATAACTCTCTTCAGTAATTGACATCCTGAAAATAGGAAAACATCGAAAGAAGAGTGGGAGAATGAGCATAGAAAATAAATATGAAAATTGAAGAAAATTTTTGATGTATTTCTGGATAGCAAATGTTAGAAAAATATCGATCTAAATTCTAAAAATACTAATGAGCTAAATATGGTAAAGGGCATTTTCTCAATATTGAAAAAGCAAAATTTTGGAAGAAATTTCGAGGTGAAAGGGACAAAGAATTTTTTTCAGCATCATTCAAATCTTAATTTGAAAAAATGAAGTATGTACGCCTAATGTAAAAGTCCAGAATTAGAATTAAATTTCATTCTAGAAAAGGAAGAGATAATGACGAAACAAATGACTCTTTCTAGAATAATTGATAATTAAACTTGATTCGTTTATTCTTTAAAGGAATTACAAATTTGCAGAAAAAAAGTCGACAAGAAAGTTCGGGCGAAGGTAGTGGTGTAGAAATTATCACTAACAAACCGTACAGCGATGGTCCAGGTGGATCTGGTCAATACACATTTAAAATTTATCATATCGGCAATAAAATCCCAGGTAAGTATTTTGTACTTCAATAGATGAA